GTTCTGAATAAAGAGAAAAAGCTAGCATGGGACAATCTGGCAGAAGAACAGTCTAGACAGGGGAAAGGGCAGGTGTAATGTTGCTGAGGGAGCCTCAAGCTAGCTGATTAGAGGTACTTTCGGCAGCCGCCCACTGAGCCCTTGCTGGGTGCAGGCACTGTGCTGGGTGCTGGGAGCTGGGGAGGTCAGCGAATCAGACAGACCCCAGTCTTCAGGGGCCTATCGAAAGGAGACAGAGGAGAGAATAATGGCAGGGGTGGGGTGAACTGAAGGTGAGCCATGCTGGGAAGAAAATGAAGAAGAGGCACAGGGTTGCTGAGGGAGACGGGGGGGCTGAGACTGTAAACAGAAAAGGTGAGGGGGGGCCATGAGGTTCACTGGGGAAGAGGCTTCCCGGCAGAGGGAACGGCTTGTGCAAAGGCCCTGAGGCAGGAGTGTGCCAGTATTCGGGAAAAGCCAGGAAGCTGAGGCTGGAGACAGTAAAGAGGCTTGAGAAAGAAAATGGTCTGAGGCGGGCCCTGACTTTGCAGGAGACGCAGCTATTGAAGGGTTTAGACCAGTGGAGACTGTGACATGCTCTGGCTTTTGTTTGAAAGGACTGCTTGGGCTGCCCTGCAGAGACTGGACAGCAGAGGTAAAGGGCAGCAGCTGTGAGACCAGGGAGGAGGCGTAGGGTGGGGGTGAAGTTAAAGTGGCAGGCAGAGCCCCGAGTCTGGAGATAGAGGTGTTGGACTCGTCAGCAGACAGATGGTATTTAGGACCACAGCAGATAAGAGCAGCTGGGAAACGTGTGGGTGTAGATGAAGAAGAGAAAAGGTCGAAAGATGAGCCCTGGGGCCCTCGGATGTGAGCGGATGGTGAGAGGACAGAGAACCTGGAGACCTGTCTACAGCCAGGAATCAGGGGTGTGGCGTGGGGAGCAGTGAGTGCCCAGCTGGGGAGGTCCTTGGGGAGCAGGGGGTCAGGAAAGAACCGGCCACTGACAGCAGCTAGAGGGGACTGTGGCCCCAAGAGAGAGTCTCTTGTAAGACAAGACAAATGAGTAGGCTAGGCAAGGGAGGGGGGGCAACATCCTTGAGTGGGTGCAGAGGCCAGGGTGGGGCCCCCAGGCAGTGCGGGAACAAGCAGGGCTGCCTCTCGGACATCAGGAAATGGGGGGCACAGCCGGCCTCACTTGGGGCGAGACAGGAAGCTATGGGAGAGCCCTCCAGCCCCAGCCTGACCTGATCCTCCTCGGCCTTCCCAGACACCCTGGCTACAACGCTAAGAGGCAGCTTTATTGGAAAGTGCTTTTCATGTCTTTCTTTTACTTTTAAGTTATCCCACAGTAAAATGGACTTTTGGCGGGCAGGGGCTCAGTTCGGTGAGTTCCCACACTGCACAGAGTGGACCCAGGGCAGCTCCTTCACCTGCTAGAATGTTTGGCGTCCCCACCAGCTAGGTTGGGGAGGGCCGGGCCTGATTCAATAATCAGAGAGGAGGGAGGCTGCGAGGGACCCCAGCGATGTCAGCCACAGAGGTGGGAGCCAGGGAGGATCAAGAGACCAGGCAGTCAGGCTCTGAGTCCCAGGGGCCTCCAGGGCCCTGGCAGATACGGCAGCAGCCGTGGAGGTAGAGAGGGCTCCGCTGAGAAGAGGTTGGGGAATTCGGGGCTGGGGCACATGCTGATGCAGGGCACTGGGGTCGGGGACCGAGGTGCCTCTGTGGTTTGGCCAGAGCCCTGCACTAGGACCGGAAGACCAGGGCTGACCCTCAGCCTCCTTCAGTTTGATAGATCCTTCAGCCATCCAAGGGGAGGTGAGGGAGCAGCAGTGCATGCTGGGAAGCAGTGCGTGCTGGCTGCAGGCATAGGTGGAGGTGTATATATATATATACACCCTTTATATGGTGTCCCTGGAGTCTGTGGGCTTTCGGTGACACTGACAGCCTTGAGGGTGGCAAGGTCCCTCGGGGAGTGGCAGAGATGGAGAAGGGCACTGTTTCCGCTCAGCCTTGGTCACTCTTTTGCTGGGACACACTGAACTCTGCCGTGGGGATGTTCTGAAGCCCCCGTGCATGAGCTCGGCTCTCTAGAGCAGGCCTCTCTTCTCGAAACGTTTGCCGGTTCTCACCAAACCCGTGTCCCAGGAAGTCGCTGTGCTCTTCAGTGTCGGGTGGCCTGAAAACACCCCATCATGACAGCAATACCAAGCAATTTGTTAACAGCCCAAGGTTTGAATGCGGGGAATTGGGACGTGGACGAGACTAGGGATGACACAAGCCTAGCTTAGAGCCCAAAATCGCATGTCTGCGTGAGCAGCCCGCCCCCCCCCCACCCGCCCCGTTGGTGATTGAGCAACTACTCTGTGCCACACTCTGTCGATAGGCAGCAAACCAGACCAGTGACAAGACAGTCATTAAAGTAAGTCTGATTATACTTGGGAGGAGCAAGCACCCTGAAGGAAAGTTCCGGAGCTGCAGAAGCTGGAGAAGAAGGGCTGGCTGCCCGTTTTGGGCAAAGACTTTGGAGTTCAGCCAGGCACAGGGAGACCTGAAGGTGGGTTTCAGCATGTGACCCAGATCCAAGTGAGGGGACCAGCTCAGCCAGAGGAAAGGGTGTAGCCAGGGTCATCGGATCATTGCTGCCAAACTTACCACGAAGGCGCCTAGGGTCAAGGGCTGCAGGGTCCAGCTTACTTTCCTTTCTGTGACTTGTCCCAGTACCTCCCCCCCAGTTCTGGCACCAGAAAAGGCCCAAAGAATGAGGCCACATCTTCAATGACTACAAAAAGTGATTTCTATTTCTTTTCGTTAAAAATATCAAATGATTCTCCCCTCAATTTCTGGGTTACCCCTTTCTCAGGAGCCAGTCTGGGGGAGTCAAGGAACTGAGGGCAAATAGTTGGCCATCTGTAATCCAGAAGACGTGACTTCACCAAATTCAGAGAAAATCCTAGCCAGATTTAAGATTTGGAGTTAGGGAATTCCAATTTTACGGAGCTCTTTGGCTGACTGTTTTTGCCCTCGAGTGGCTGTGAGGTTCACCTGGCTTAAACTGATTTACGAGCACTGTGCTTGGCCACGCACTGACTGTCCCGGGGTTCCAGACCCTGGAGGCTCGAAAAGGACTCATTGTCCGCAGTGTGATTCATGGTCTAAACTAGGGGACAGCAAACTTCTCCTATAAAGGACCTTAGAGTAATTATTTTTAGCTTTGCAGGCCAGGTCTCTGCCACAACTACCCAACTCTGCTCCGGCACCTTGAAGACAGGCATAGACGAAGCAGAAATGAATGGGCGTGGCTGTGTGGCAATAAAACTTTATTTGTAAAACCAAGCTGAGGGCCAGTGTTAGCCCTTGGGCCACAGTTTGCCAACACCCAGTCTAAACCAAGAAAACCAAGTCCTAGAAGCTTTGACCTGGAAATGACTTTAGAACTGATGCTATGTCCACCCACTCACATAGGGAAGAGCTGACTTCCCCATCTCAGCACAAGGCCAGCTGGCTCATGCGGGGCCCAGCAAAGGCCTTCCCATGGACTCGAGCTTCTAGAACCAAGAGGGAGCCCAGGTGGTAGGGGACCAGGGAGGGAACAAAGTGAGGCAGCAGCTCTGTGGCTCATAAACCTGATGACATTTGAGCACTCGTGTAAGTGAAGGTGGGATCGAAGAGACCAAGGGGCTAGTTCTGGGAGCAAGATCCTGCAGGAGGTATGGGGGTCAGAGGGTGCCTGAGCTCGGCTGGGGCCAAGGGCCACCAGAGCCGGGGATCCAGGGCACTGTGGGAAGCTCTTCCCTGCGGTCTGCCAATGCCAGTGGAGCAGCCGGGGAACAAGATCTAGAAAAGCCTGAGTAGAGGAAGGATACGGCAGATTCCACTGACCAAAAGAAGTCATCTGGCTTGGAAACTGAAGAGGAGGAGGAGAGTGCAGGGTGCGAAAGGCTGGAGGGGCAAAATGCCTGTGATGGCAGGAGACACGATGGCAAAAGGGTCTGCGAAGGGAAATGCCAACCGATCAGAGGCACCGAGCTGCGGGCCAGGGGGCCTGCAGGAGGCGAGAGGAACCATTGCGTTGGAGCAGGGCATCCAAGCAGGACAGGCTTACTGGGTGCAAATCAAAAGTGGGGCCATTTTCAGTGTGGGATGCCTCCAGATGGGAGAGTGGCCAGCTCTCAGGCCCCCGATTACAGCCAGATGAGCCCCAAGGTGGCGGTCAGGGCTAGGAGGTGGGCCTGGGCGTACGAACAGAGAGGAGGAGGACCAGTGCCAGGCCAGGGCTCTGGGGCACCATGGGCCAGAGGAAGGAGAAGTGCAGGAGACAGGGCCAGGTAGGAGGAGGGCCAGGCAGTGGTGATGTCAGGGAAATCAAGAGGAGTTTCCAGAAAGAGGGACAGTCAGCTGTGTTGGGGGCCCCGGAGAAATCAAATAAGATGGAGACACAGAAGTCGCCACTGGACTTCGCAGCAGGAAGACTGATGGCCATGTGGGTCTGGGCATGGCAGGTGCTGGTTACAGGCACGAGAGCTGGTGGGACGGAGACAAGGTCTATAGAGAAGCCAGGGAGGGAGACCCACTTGAGAAAGGCCGGCAATGTGCCCATAGGCTGGGGACTTGCTCTTGTCCGAAAGTTATGCAGACTTTGTGGTAAGAGGAAGCAGAGAGTCCCCTCTCTAGCATTCTCCCTTTTTGGAATCATCTTTCTGTTCTATCGAATTGGAATTCAGATTTGGCAGAGGGCCCAGTTGATGAGACACAGACCCAATCCTGAAAACCCTTAGCGCAACCAGGCAGAGCTGTCCCAGTTGCTCCATTCCAATGGACGAACGTTTGTCACGCAGTAACCTGGTGCTGTTGATGTGGGTGGAACTTGCCAGCACCAGCCAGCCATTGACTATGTCCTTCCCTCCTTCTTTCCTTCCTTCCTGGCTTCCCTCCTTCCCTTCTTCCTCCTTTCCTTCCTTTCTCCCTCCCTCCCTCCCTCCTCCCACCTTGGGCCCCTGTCCTTCCATGTCTTGCTCCAGATCCGGGTGGTGAAAGCATTCCGTAGCTCGCTCTATGAAGGCCTGGAGAAACCGGAATCCAAGACCTCCATTCATAACTTCATGGCAACGCCCGAGTTTCTGATCAATGACTACACCCACAACATCCCACTCATCGATGACACGGACGTGGATGAGAACGAGGAGCGCCTGCGGGCCCCCCCACCCCCGTCCCCCAACCAGAACAACAACGCCATAGACAGCGGTATCTACCTGACCACGCACGGCACCAAGTCAGCTACCTCGTCAGTGTTTTCTTCCAGACCCGGGAGCCCGCTCCACAGCGTGGAGACGTCCCTCTAAGGGAAGGGCTCCGGGCACACGCACACCGCACACACGCGCACTCGGCCCGGATGGCACAGGCCTGCAAGGAGAGCACGGCCAAGGCGGCTGAAGATGGTGCTCGCACGGCACTAGCAAGAAGCCACTCCACCCAAGGCTTCTTATCTGGGACTGAGGAGGACGAGGGAGAAACTAGAGCGTGAGAAGAGCCGTGTTTCCCTTTTTTCTATCGAAGCATTTTTTTAACGAACACTACAGTTCCTCCGCACGTTCGCTGTTCGGGCTGTGCGGTGGGGCGGGGGGCTGGTTTCAGCTGACTGGGCGTTTCCCTGCACCTGCCGGAGAGCAGCTGGCCCGACAGGTTCATACAGAGAGAAAAAAGATGACCGTGGCTCGGCAGCGCCCGGAAGGATGCCCCGCCGGACAGCCTGTCGCTGGGAGCCGCCTGCAAATGTACCTGCGCCGCCGAGCGCCCCTCCCCCAGGACACATGTGCGGTCTGTATGTGTGTGCGTGTGTGCATAGATATGCGTGTGCGTATAGACATGTACGTACATATATGACCAGATGCGTATTTAAAGAATAAGGAGCTATTTATCAGCATGATATTTCCATTCCTCTTATCAGGTGTTTTCATTTTGAAATTTCATTATTTATTGTGGCAGGGTTTTTTTTCAGGGAACGAGACTGCAAGAATATCTTTTTGGTTGCTTGCCCGCCCCCCACCGCTGCCCCCCACCTTCTGCCCAGCCTCCGTTCTCCATCCCGGTCCTCCTCCCCGCACAGTTCCTGGGAATGTTGCTGTGGAGATTCCTGAGAAGGTCGGGGAGAGAGACACGAGGCCGGAGCGGTTAGAATTAGAACTTTTGCACTTTGAGACCCCTGCCTATAGAGGGAAAAAAACAAACAAACAAAAAAAACAAAAACCTTTCAATGGAATTTTTTTATTTAAAAGGAAAATACCAAAGTATTGATAAGAATGATCCCCTCCAGTAGGTGGAAAGGGGAGTTTTGCTTTCAGTTTCCTTCGGTTTCAACTCCAAGTCCTGAATTCTGGCTGGTGGGCTTTCTTTGTCCACGCCCCAACTTCAACAGCATGAAGCGCTGCCGCCCCCTGCCACGCCGACCCCTTGGAAACACCCAGAACCCGGGAGCAGCCCCAGGAGAGCCAGGTCTGGAGGTGGGGGTGGGGCTGGGGGTGGGGAGACCACCAAGAGTCAGGCAGAACGTGGCGGAGGAAGAGGTACCCTCCAAACCCAAGAGGAGCTGACGTGACCGCAACCGAGAAGTTGGGCTGAGGGGTCTGCCGAGTGACTGGGGCCAGGTCTCAGTCACCACCCGCCAAAGCACTCTTCCGACCCGGGGCTTCTCGTTCAAGGACAACTATGACCCACAAAGGCATGGATTTGTGTCTGCAGCCACCTACGGTGACATGGGGGAAGCAGGCGCAGGAGCAAAGCCCCTGGGAGCGATGGCACCTCGCCGCCGTCGCTCCGGTCACAGCTGTGGCTCTGTCTCACGAGCCCGGGAGGCTGAGGAGGTCAGCTTCGCCGTGCCGGCTGAGCACCCTGTCTGCAGGAGGGAGAGCTGGGCCTGGGCTCCCCAGACGGTTCCCTCGGGGACCTCTCCTTGCCGTATGGGCACCCGTTGTGCCAAGCCTCAGTTTCCCCTGAATGCACGCTGACCAGGGAGGGAAATGCAGCAAAAGCAGAGTTTCCTTTACCTTCTGAATTCATCTGTCGCATTTTGCAGAGACGCAGTTGAAGTCCGACCGCAGCGTGAACATGTGCCTATCACTTGGGCCTGAGGCTGAGCCACTGAGGGACAGCTGGGAGCTGAGGGACACGGGTCAGAATGGAAATGCAGGTGTGGGTGAGCAGCAAGGCCGGCTCACCCGTCATGTCCCCTGTGCTACCCCCACTGGCAGGGGACTCGCCCAAGCCCACCTGCCTCTGTGAGCATCTGGGTCGACATCCAAAACATGCTCAGTTCCTACCGCTAACCTGAAGGCCATGTCACCCCTGAGCAGGAGTAGTCAAATCTCGGGCGAAGGAATTCCAGTTAGACAAGAAAATCCCACTTAAGATGCCAGCTACAGATAACTTAAAGCCATCCCTTTATTCCAAAGGGCACACTGAGAATGTTACCCATTTGTGAATTGTTCCCTAATGTCCTTGTTTAAACAACAAAAAGGGCAACTCAATTTGTTGAGGGTCTGTGTGTTCTTAAACTAGAAATAAAATTGGAAATCTTTCAAATTGAAGAAGGTAAGCTGCATATGCTCTGCTCATGGGCTTCTTTTCATTCTCTGTTAGAGACACCTTGGTAGAACAAACGGTCCGTATAGATTAAACAAAAACCCTCACTGCTGCCGTACGAAGTTGCCTACTGTGTGTGTCCATTGTTGCCCTTCCTCGGGGTGTGGGGTTCAGAAAGGGGCGCCGTGACCTCAGATTGTCGCTCTGGTTTCTGTACAGTCTTCAGGCCGAGGGACCTGTCTTGTGAGGAAGCCCCCTCTATAAAGCATATTATACGGAATGGCTTGGTCAACTGTGTTCAGTTATGAAATATGTTTTACATTTTTATCTGCCTGTTATAAAGATGAACAAAAATTATCTTAATGAGGAAGACCAGATGCATAATAATTTAAAGTCTGTAGTTGAATTTCCTAATTTAAAGAATAGACCAAAATTTCTGTGTATTAAAAAAAAAAAAAATTGAAAGGCTCCTACAGTCCCAGTCTGGGTAACATGTGTGATTTATTAGTTGGTGAATTCTGAATGAATTGGAATGAAAAGGAGGTGTCTTCATCCACTTAACCAGGCTGAGAGCCCCAGGAATGCCCAAGCTCCCCCCGGGTGTGCAGCCACCTGTCCAGTCCTTATGGAAGGAAGAAAGGGCTCGCCTGCCCCATGGGGTCAGAGGCATGCTAGCAGAGGTTTGCATGCTGGTCCTCGAACTGTCTGGACCTGGAGGGGCCTCGCCTGAAGGCCCAGGCCGGCATCCTCAAAGGAAGGTGAAGGCAGGGGCCACCAACCCAAATGCACGCATGCAGACTCCCTCTTTTTTTTTTTTTTATTGTGGCAGAATATATACAACATAGAAGTCACTCTCCAATTTTAAGCAAACAGTCCGATGACATTAAGTACTTTCACAGTGCTGTGCAGTCATCCCCACCATCTGTCTCCAGAACATTTTTATCTCCCCAAACTGAAATCCGTTCGCGTTAGACCCTAATTCCTCATCGCGTGCCCCCCAGCCCCTGGTGCCTGCCGTCCTTTCTGTCTCTCTGTGTCAGAAGTTCCTGCCTTTTTAAAGCTGAGTAACATTCCGTTGTATGGCTAGACCATATTTTCTTTATCCACTCATCCGTCAGGGAACACTTGGGTTGCGTCTACCTTTTGGCTGCTGTGAGTCATGCTGCTCTGAACATGGGTGTGCAAACATCTGTTGGAGTCCCTGCTTTCAGTCTTCTTGGGTCTACATCCAGAAGTGGGATAGCCAGGTCATTTGGTAATGCTAGGTTTAATTTTTTGAGGAGCTGCCAAACTGTTTTCCAAAGCGGCTGCACCATTTTAAATTTGCCCCCAGCAGCGCACAAGGGTTGTAATCACAGACTTCCTCTTTAAGCCAAAGCGGGGGAAAGAAAACCCATTATTTCAGTCATTCACTTGCTCGCCGGGTCATCCCCCTATCCGTTCCTTCGCACACTGGGCGTCCTTGAGCACCTGTAGGGGGGGCATCAGTGCTCCGCAGCCCAGAGGGAGCTCTGGGCCAAACCTTGCAAATGACTACCACAGGGACAGAGCCGAGACTACCCACATCTCCGTCCCCTGTGTTTCTATTTCTCCACTCCACACATCACCCTTTCAAACTTGGCAACGCCAGCGGATGCCTTTTCCAGGGAAGCTGCCAAGAAAGGAGGAAAATGGCTTCTAAGTTCCCTCCCAACCACCAGAGTCCATGCTTCCAAAAAAGGCAAAAAGACAAATAACAGAAAACAGCAGACAAATAGCCAAGAGCCCTTGCTTCATTGATGTGTGTGTCCACCTTGAACCCGAAGGCTGAGCAAGTCTACATGGGGCCAAACGCCATGTCCAGAGAGCTGGCACCTTATGGAGAGATGGTGCCCTCCCCCCCAGATTGCTCATTTCTGCCTGTGGAGACTCTTTTCCACTCCTGCTATCAGATATCACACAGGTTCCTGTGGAAAAAAAATGGTACTTAGCCAAATGAGTTGAGGCCAGGAAGCGTAACAACGCCCACCCCTTCACAAAGCTTGGCCAACATTTCACCACCCAGCAGCACCCCGGGAGCAGAGGTGCACCCTGGGAGTCTGAGGAAGCCCGGTAGGAGTTGATGAAGTACCCCACACTGGTCGGGGGGTGCTAAAATAACAAGACAGTTACCCCCTCCTCTTGCTCCGGAGGCCGGAAGGCAGGAATCCAGGTGTCGGCAGGGCGGCGCTCCCTCCGAAGGCTCTAGGGGCCGCTCCTTCCTTGCCCCTTCCAGCTGCTGGTGCGGCCGGCGGCCTTGGCCTTCCTTGGCTGGTAGCCGCACCACCCCTGTCTCTGTCGTCCCGTGGCCTTCTCCCCTGCACATTCCATCACTGCGCCTTAGAAGGATACCAGTCATCTTGGATTCGGACCCAGCCTACTCCTGTAGGATCTCACCTCACGCTGACAATAGCTACAAAGAGCCTGTTTTCAAATAAGGACCCATCCCCACGTTCCAAGAGTTAGGACATAAACACATCTTTCGGGGGACAGCATTCACTCATCTACAGCTGGAAAGGAAGAGACCGCCGAGTTCCTCATAGAACCTGGATCGCCCCCCTCCTTCCACCCATTTGACAGGCCAGGCAAGGCTCGGCCGTCTATCACTTTACAGTAATTAGGATGTGCAGGAAGCTTCGGGTCGTAGAAAATCTTGTCTCCACCCCTCATTGCTGCCTAGCACCCTTCCTTCATCTCTGCTCCGATGACGGCACACTGAAGGGGGAGCTTCCGGCCCCAGTTGCATCAGGAAAGCAGAGACGAGCCCTGAGTGCTAAGTGCTGACAGGACAGGCCCAGAGGCCAGTGCGCGAGGGCTGCAAGTCCCACAGGGCAGCACGACAGGCACGGGGCGGGCTAAGGGATTTTAAAATAGCAATCAGAAAAAAATACAAGAAAAATAAAACTAGCAATCAGCAATCCCAGTCTGAGATCATTTGGTCCAACCTGCTCAATTTACAAAGTGGGAAACTGAGTCCCATAGAAAGAAAGGAACCGGCCTGCTATGCAGTCATCATAAAAGGAAACCTAGAGCTACAAAATCTCCACGGAGGCTGCGGCTAGCCCCAGCAGACCAGAGTCTCTGGAGCCATGCTTTCCCAGTTCGGCACAGGGGCTCTCAGCCAGGGGTGGGGATGTTCACCAAATCCCTAGAGAGCTTTAGCCAACCACCTTCCCTTCTTTCTGGTAAGTCCTGGAGCAGGGGGTGGGGAGCAAACAGACTGGAACAGGTGCAGATGGAGAGAGCTCTCCAGAGGGTTCTCCCGTACCCTCCACCTAGCCCTCCCATCCAGAGCAGGGGGTTCTGTTTTCTGAGAGCTGAGCAAATGACCTCCCAACAAGTGTGTGGGGGCCAGCTGCCTCGCCAGAGGCTAAACCTGAAGAGATCCAAGGACACTGAAGCTTCTGTAAGAGCCTGTGATCTGGTCAGGGGAGAGAAGACAGAGAATCCAAAAGTGAAACATCCATTGCCCAATTCCATTCAAACCAGCAATAAGCACTGGCAAAGGCCAGCGCCAGGTCGATGCGGGACAAGCAAGGCTGGGGCCCAGGGGGCGGTGCCAGGGCCCAGCCTGTGGGGAGGAAGAACACGAGGCAGACGAGGTACATTTTAAATAGCAGAAGACAGAAGGGACCAGCGAAAGAGCCAGAGCTGCTCACAGAGAGAGGCCTGCGGGCTGGCCCCTCACCACCCACCGCGTGCTTAGAGCCGGGACTCTGAGCACCAACCTTGGCCTCAAAGAGCTCCCAGCTGAGCTGGGTGGACAGATATGGAAAGGACACGGTGGAAAAGTGGACATTTACTCAGATCTCTCATCCTGAAGACAAATAACACAGTTGCTAAGTAAACTCAAGCAAGCCCTGCTGCCTGACTTGTCACCAGTGTGTGATCCCCCAGAGACAAGCATTCGGAGGCAGCCTGCTGGACCCCAGGCATTCCAGCCAGCTCCCACACCTGTGGGTGCTGGAGGGCATGGCAGCCAGTATCCAGAGCCCATGCTCCCCTGGCAACAACTTCCCAAATGCAGGGGCGCACCTGGGACAGTCCCCTGCTCCCCACACCATCATGTACTGAAGGACAGTCCCACCAGTGTGTGTCGAGCCCAGTGGGGATTCCCAGGGAGAACAACCTAGGCTGCTGTTTCTCTAATGCACCCAAAAGCAAGTCTTCTGGAAGAAGTGCCCTTCGAGTGGGTCAGGAGGGTGTCATGGCCCTGAGATTCTCTAGGCTCTCCATCTAGACTCACTGTCTTGACACTTAAGAAAAAACCGTCATTTACTTTCTAGTTACATTTTGGTCAGATCTGGGTCTGGGGAACCCAAGTGATGCTCCCTAATCCCTCTCTCCAAAATTGATGCTCACTCACTGAATGGGACAATTCCACCCGGAGAGAGCGTTTCAAGGGAAACCGAGGTTGGACGGCACCCAGAGCAGCCCAGGCCCGAGAGCAAAGACAGGGCATCTCTGTTGATTTGTATCATCTTTTATTATACAAAATAAAATTCCATCTATGTTGCACATTCATACTTTCTATAAATCTGGCTTTAAAAAAATCCCCAAGGGTGCAGTCTCATCTGTTCTTTGATTTTGCTTCCACTGATGTCACACCTCAACTGCAGTCGGTGCCCTCTCAAAGGACAAAAGCAGACACGGATGCCTTGGGGGCCCTTCCCCTGGTGCACCCCGGCCTGCCCGCAGGAGGCACGGCTCCCATCACCGTCTGGACCACAGCTGCCAGGGACAGTCAAAGCATGAGAATCAAAGTGGCAGCAGGTCATCGCCTTCACCAGCCCGTCTCCAGCAGCACAAAACCAGTCCTCCCAGCTGGTCTTCTGGGGACCAGCCGTCACAGCGATGCGGTGATGCCGTCCCCAGGCAGCCGAGCATCCCGGGCTTCTCTTTGGGCAGGCCTGGACCAGGGCCTTAGGGGATCTCTGTGTCCATGGTATAAATCTGAATGAGATCAGACACAATGTTATCAATGATTGGCTTGGTAAGGTCGTCACTAAACACCTAGAAAGGAGAAGGAAAACAGGTTCTGATTAGACTCCCTCTGTGTTAAACAAGGCACCCACCACTAAGCACGGAATCACATTGCACAGGGGGGATGGCACAGGGACTTGGCTATCAGAGATGATGGTGGCTCTCTGCAAAGCCAGTTCACTTCCAGCCTGCCAAGGCTAAGCACAAAGCAGAGAACATTCCAGATGGAAGAGGCCTCAGTGATCATCTGACCCAGACAGGACAGGGAGCTGGTGACAGAGTTGGGCCAGGAGTTCATTTCCAGAAGTAAACAGGCTAAACCACTGAACCCCACTCCACCCTGGCCTAGCCCCTGGAGAACACCTGGACCTGTTCTATAACCTGGGCCAGACATCCTCCCGACCATGCTGGAGAGCTTATAAAATTGTCAACTGAATCCCCAGGGGCCCAAACCAAGAGGGGTGTGTAGCTCAGGTCTAACCCCGCATGTTCCCAAGGAAGTTCTGGCCCTTGCCCAGCCCCTGGGAAAGGACCTCTGGCCCCCAGCATGTCCTGCCTGATGAGAGGGTCTCAATCTCCCTGGGGCCGAGCTGGGCCACACCTCTCAGCTTCATGTCCCGGGGAGGGGGGGGGGGGGGGTTGGGGCGGTGCAGGTGCAGAGACTGAGTTTCCGAGCTCAGCCCCGCGGGAGCTCCAGGCCCACGGGACCGACCCCGCACTGAAGTCCCCGGACAGCGCCGCGCAGGGAGGCTTCCCTGGTGGCCGTGCCCGGTGCGGGTTGTCACACAAGGCTGCGGGAGAAACGGCACTGCCGCAGCCCTCCGCCGGCCAGGGACCTGGAAGCTCACGCCTGGTCTCCCCTGGACCCGGCCCTACGCTCCTCGCGTCCTTGCTGATTCTGACCTGGGTGCTTCCACTGTAATTGACCATAACAACCGTAACCGGGAGCCGTTGTACGGCTCTTCTGAGTTCTGCGAGCCCTCCTAGTGAAGCATCGAGCCTGAGGGTGCTCTCGAGGAGCCCTGATGACATGGGAAATAAAAAGCAAAACAAGGAGATCTTGGTTAGATACTGTGGCCCCCTGGGCCCAGGGGTTGCTGCCTGGGAAACCAATACCAGTAGGGTCAAGACCTTGGGCCAAGCCAGGGCAAAAACTAGACCTGAGTCCACCCCCTCCATGGCCCCCAAAGAAAGCCAGGGCCCTCCGTAAGCTGCTGCCGCAGGTAGGAAACAGTGGCCTGAAAATCCCAAGCCCTGGCTCATGAAGACTGGCCATCTCGCCCCAGACTGTAGGTAGAAAATCAATGCTTCCGAAATATGGGCTTGGGCTTGCTCACCAAGGTCCATTCCTTGTTTGTTCCTGGGGACCCCAAGCCAAGGAAAGACTTTTAAAAAGTAGTCCCGGGCCAAAAGGTGGAAGCAATCCAAGAGTCCACCCCTGGAGGAATGCATAAACACAATGTGGTCCATCCGTCCCATGGAACAGTGTTCGGCCTTCATAAGGACAGACACCCTGACGCCTGCTGCAATGCGCTACTGCTTCATCCACCCGGAGGCCCAACACAGCTTGGCACAAGGCCTGCCTCACCGCCCTCACACTCAAGTGCAGGAGCACCTCAAGCTCCCCCAAGGCTCCTGACCAGCACGGCAAAGCCCCAGCCCCCGGCAGGCGAGGGACAACAGAGAGGCGGTTGCCGCGAGGAGTGGCAGTGGAGAGCAAGGAGGAAAAGTATTTCCCAACTCAGACGTCAGCATCCAGGCCAGGCAGGCAGGCGAGGCAGGGGCGGTGTCATCATCTAGAGCCATTTATCATAAGGCAACTGGTCCTTGCACATCATAAGCCCAAAAGGCCCCCAGATTCTGAATGCTCCTGGTTCATGTGGCCGGGAGCCACCCAGAAAAGGTGCAGAGCTGAGTGAACAGGAGGAGTTTGCCACCCCACTCCTCCCAGTCTTAACAATCACTGGGTAGGGGGCACCTGGGTGGCTCAGTTGGTTAGGCGACTGCCCTCAGCTCAGGTCATGATCCTGGAGTCCCGGGATCGAGTCCCGCATCAGGCTCCCTGCTCAGCAGGGAGTCTGCTTCTCCCTCCGACCCTCCTCCCTCTCATGCTCTCTGTCTCTCATTCTCTCTCTCTCAGATAAATAAATAAAATCTTTAAAAAAAAAAAACAAAACAATCACTGGGTAAGCACAGGGCTGGCTGAGGGCTGGCACTGGGAGGCCGAGGCAGTAAGGTGGTGCCCGGGGAAGTTCAGGAGCAGGTGAAAAGAAAGGAGAGCAGAAAGGAAGACGCACAGAGAGGAGAGCCAGACAATGGGAAACAAGTGATGACATCGCAGACCCAAGCAGCCAAGACACAGGGGCTGCCATGCCCACATGCCCTCAGAGAGCAGGGCCGGGAAGTGGCAGCCCCTTCTGCTACCACCCGGTTCCAACAGAGCAGGGACGCTATGGTCACATGACCTGGAAATCCCTGAGAAGACCCAGCACGGAGCAGTACTTTCTGTCTACGCAGATCCCTTTCAGGCCCATGCTGCCAGAGGAGGTGCGTCTCACCGGAGACCAGGGCCACAGATGTGTCTGCTCGAAGATGCGTGAGCACCTACTATGGGCCAGATCTAGGCGCTGGACCTAGGGCAGGGGATAAAGCAGACAGGATCCCTGACCTCCCAGGGTGCCTGGGTGGCTCAGCTGTCAAAGCGTCTGGCTTCGGCTCGGGTCGTGATCCCAGGGTCCTGGGATCGAGCCCCGCATCGGGCTCCCTGCTCGGCGGGAAGCCTGCTTCTCCCTCTCCCACTCCCCCTGCTTCTGTTCCTTCTCTCGCTGTGTCTCTCTCTGTCAAATAAATGGATAGAGTCTTAAAAAAAAAAAAAAAGAGGGCGCCTGGGTGGCTCAGTCGGTTAAGCGACTGCCTTCGGCTCAGGTCATGATCCCAGTGTCCTGGGATCAAGTCCCACATCGGGCTCCCTGCTCAGCGGGAAGCCTGCTTCTCCCTCTCCCACTCCCCTTGCTTGTGTTCCCTCTCTCGCTGTGTCTCTCTCTGTCAAATAAATAAATAAAATCTTTAAAAAAAAAAAAAAAGATCCCTGACCTCCCAGCACTTACTATCTGGTTAGCTGGAGGGATTTGACGATAAAGGACAAGAGAACAAAAAGCAAGCAGGAGAAGCCGGGTCTCCGCAGAGGGGCAGCAGGAAAGGAAGGGCACCACGGGAGCCAAGAGCTGCAGGAAAGGAGGGGGAGCCAGGAGCAGACCCAGGAGGGCACCCAGGGGGGCACCCTCTGTTCACATAACAGAGGACACATTTTAGAAGACTTCTGGCCACTGGCTGATTTGCTGGGGAGGGAGGGTGCGCCAGAAGGAGAAACCTTCAGGTACCGCAAGCGCTGCTTGCAGAGAACCTCCTCTGGGGCAAGGCCCATGTGTTATAAGAAAGGAACAGCAAACTAGACTCAGGTCTAGTATGGGAAAGGGAAAACCAGAAATGATTTCAAAATTCCATTGTGAGAAACAGTGGGGACTACTCAGGGAAAATCGATAGGACTGTGGAAGTCCTCGAGGGCAGCCCTTCCCCTGGACTCGCGCTCTACAAACCGTGCTGTGGATTCAGCAGGTCGGGGGGAGGCCGGCGAATCTTTCGACCATCAGCCTCATTATCTGCCATCTAGCCATCCACCCACCCGTCCATCTCGTGCCATCCATCTGTCTGTCCACCCCTCTACCCATTTGTCATCTATCGGTCTATCTATCATCTATGTGCCTGTCCATTATCAATCCATCTTTTTAGAGGACTCCCTCTATACTTCTTCTGATGTGGATCCAAGTTTATTAACTTCCGATCTATAGCAAGCTCCCGCTCAATTCAATGAAAGTGCTTGGTCGAGCAAAGTGACTCTCAACTGGGGGTGATCCCCACCCTGGGACACTTGGTAATGTCTGGAGACATTCTGATTGTCACGACTGGGGCGTCTACAGGGTAGCACAGGATGGCGTTGCCGCAGAGAACGATCGAGCCCCGAATGTCCGCAGTGCCTTAGACAGTCATGACAGGGTGTGTTCAAGCTTCGAGATTCCTAAGTAGCCCGTATCTTCCTTCGAGGATAATTACCACCAAGGAACACGGATGAGTCCTCAGGCAGAGGAAAGGGGAACCGGCACACTGAGCAGTCACCTCACCTGCCACCACGGCTTCTCGGCCTCGGCCTCGGCGGGCACCTCAACCCCATAGGCCTGCAGGGCCAGGTGGAGCACCGCCACGGCTATGTGCTGGGCCCGGAAGCGGAGGCACAGCCCCCCGTGGTAGCTGTCCCGCAGCAGGGCCCAGGCAGTGACGGAAATGGGGGTCCGCTGCCAGCAGTAACGGTTCAGCCAGTTCTTGAGGGAAATCAGGTAGTGGAGCAGGTACTGCAAAGACACACCAGTCAGCCAAGTGGCCTCGGGGCCCCCGCCCCCCCCCAGACACCTGACTCCTCACTGCCCCCCCCCGCCCACCAGCCACTCTCCCCCTAAGCGGCCTCGGCGGGAATAAAACACAAACTGGATCGAGTCATCTCTCTGTTCCAGCCCCCCAACAGCTCCCTGTGTCCCTTGGAAAAAAGCCCCAGTGCCTTCCACTGGCCTCCAAGCCCCGCCCCGCCCCCCCACTGTGTTTGAACATGCCGAGCACGCTTCCCTCCCGGCCTTGGCACTCACTGCTCCCTCACCGCTCCCTCGGCCGGAGATCGCCTCCCCCGCTCCCTGCCCCCCCCCCCCCCGTGTCCACGTGCCCACCCGCTCTCAAGTCCTGGCCCAGCTGCTGGACGCCGCCCAAGCCTCTACCGATGGCCACCCCTACCACAGTCCCTCTCCATCACCCGGGCCTGCTCTAGCCATCATCAGAAATCATTCTGCGTATCCCCCTGCCCAACTCAACATAAGCTCCAGAAACAGCGTCCTTATACTCCAAACAGAACACTGCGCCCGTGTGCCCAGCCTGAGGCCAGGGGCTGCCCGGAGACAGGACGCCCGCTTTCAGAGGGACTACGACAGGTGACCGTGTTTTCCAGGAGTGCTGCCCTTGGCTGTACACTCTTAATGGCTTTTCAGCTCAGCTGTCTGTCAGCTCCCACTCTGGGAAGACAGCGGCTTTGCTCGAACCGGCCGATCCACAAACACACTGATAAGCCCGCTCCACAGGCTTGAACACACGTGCTTGCGACCCCAGCATGCCACGGAACAGGGGACTCATTGGCTGCCCTAGACCCCATCCCGACCTGACGTAAGGGGAAGGCCGCAAGGCTCAAGGCAACGCTGGCCCCCACTCCCCCACCCGACGGCCCCCTTGGCAGGTGCTGGTCTTCCTCAGACACAGAGCCTGGGCGGCTCCTGCCTTCCCCTGCATCGTGCGACCAACCGAACAACCGACCAACCGACCAACCGACCAACCGACCAACCGGAAACACAACTATTTTAAAATCTCTACCAGAGGTTTCCGGGATTAGAAAGGCAGTTTGGAAGGGTGGGGTGAGATTATAAGGACCCCTGTGGGGATGGGAGTTGTTTTGTATTTCAACTGTGGTGGAGGACATATGCAGGTGCATATGGGATAAAATAGTGCCAGTAACACCCCAGCGACCCCCAGAATCCCTGGCAGGGGAGGGGCTGTCACACTGACGGGTGTTCTGCAAAACGTTCCCATTCAGGGAGACTGGGCAAAGTCTCCATCTCAGATAGGATCTCTGCGTTGTTCCCTCCAACTGCTTGTACATCTACAATTACCTCATACAAATTTCAATTAGAAAAAAAATGAAATCCTATTCACAACCCACGTCCCAATCCCCTTGTCCCAACCCCCCACTGCCCCACGTCTTTCCCTGCAGGCCACCCTTCCCAGCTGCCCACATGGGGGACTGGGGCCCCCAAAGTATCACATCCAAGTGCTCTAAGGGCTCCACACGTCCCTTTTGCTGCCGTCAGAAACAGTTCTATTGGGACTTACGTGTTCCTAGCAGTTAAAAGTGTGCGACTTAACTTTGTGACTCAGATTTTCTTGTGGGTTTCAAAGCACAGCTGAGCTGCATGTGAGCTCTGAGGCCGAGCGCGACTCTTGGGGACAGGAACTCTGGGGCATCATGAAACCAGCCCTACTTCCCTGCGGCTCACTGAGCACACAATGCAGGTGGGTCACGGGATCGGCAAGGGCTTCACAGTCACACGGATCCCGGCTTGCGGCCTTGGCCAGGCAGGCCCAAAGGCAGAAGCTGAAATTAGAGCTGCCTGAGAAAACCCAGGGAGTTGGGACAAGAGGGGCCACACAAGCCAGTCAGGGTGTGCAGTCGGGAGCCCCAGGGCCCAGCTGTGGCTCACTCTTCCTCACATACACCCCGTGTTTGTGAGGGTTTGGTGGGTGCACTTCCAGGATGAAAAACGAAAAGGTTCATGCCTCTAGAAACAGTTGCCAATTCCCCAGCAGGTACCTTGTGTGGGTGCTGGAAGGAGACTTGGAAACGCAGGACTCTCAGCATGAGGAGTTCACACTGCACGATACTGTCCCGGAGCGCCCAGAAGCGGGAGTCCAGCTCCAAGGGTTCACTGCCCGGGTGAAAGTACCTGCACGAGAGACAGCAATGCTTATGGCAGCCAGGGAAGCGTCTCTGGGGAGCCCCTCGAGTCCCCTGGTGTCCAGACACAAACTCCAGTGTTCTTCTGCTAGATAGGGCCAGTTCTACTGATGTGTTTATAAGTCATCTTCATCTACATGCCTACGATATAGGATAATGTTTAAACGGTAACTAACAGAGAAAAGAAGCCGGCTTCTAGTTTCAGCCCTTGATGGACTGTCCCGTATCACTCAGCAAGATGTCAAGGGTAAAGATGAGTCTTTGCAATTGCTCCAGAAGGACTGGAAGCTCTAGCACACTGAACTGATCAGTCAGCCTGGGATCAGGGACAGGCTTTACCACCTGGGACGGCAATGCCCAGGGCTCTTACTCTGGGTCCAAGGAAGGAACTGAAACATGTCATGGGGATGCTATATGCAGAAGAATAAACGTATTTCAGCTTTATGTTCCCAGATTGTCTTTCCTTTGTTCCAGATCCTTCTGTCCTTATTTACGCCATATATATATCCACAACACTCCCACCTACGCATGATCACCAAGATGTAAGAGAACAGGATTCACACTCAAGTGATCAAAATTCTCTGCCAATGACTCAGCCTTCCTAGTTCCTCACTCCTTTTGCAACTTCCCCACAGAACCCCACCCGGGTGCTCATGTCTAATTAGCGGTCCACACAATTTCCCCTCTACCGGTCCTCCCTGCTGGGGACCTGGCAATTACAGGTGGACTCTAGCAGCCCTTCCTTGGTTCCCTCTCCAGTTTTTCTCTCAGCCTTTCACGGTACACTGCGAACCTGTCATGCTTGGGGGGTAGGGAGTGCTTTTTCCGTTGCCTGTTTATTAAAAGAGAAGCAGCACAAAACAGTTTTCTTAATGATTAGTTTCTAGAAAGGTTATGCCATACTGCTAGTCAGTAACTTTCCACAAACTGCTTTCTCCTGGGCACCCTGGGTCTCAGTGCAGCCTGGCTGGCTGGACCCCCATATCCTTCCCAGTAGGAACACAGCTGCTCGGGCCCAAGGGGGCCGCCCACAGAGCACCATGCCCACACCAGGGCAAGAGGTGCTTGTTAGCAATTCTGATTCAGTTTCCCACACCATCTTAATAAAATAATTGCCCAACTGGGTCCACACCCTCCCCTGCATGGGAAGGTCCTACAGGTCCCACAGAACACAACGGGTTTGATCCATCCTGCCCAAAACTCCAGACGAGTCTTCTTTGACATATCTCTCCAAGCTCCCTGTGCTCCCCACCCCATGACCCCAGCTCCTCTACACTCCTCCGGGCCTTTGAGACTTCCCTTAATCTGGCCCCAGCTTCTCTTCCACTCACCCCATGGGTTTCTGACACCAGGCTCATTCCTACCTGTGCTGCTAGTGCTTCTTGCCCTGGTTCAAGACCACCCTGGTGCTTCCTTCTGAGCTTGACCACTGTCACCTGGAGGTCAGGGCCCAGTGGGACCCTTCTCTGCCCTCCCGTTCGGGTGGACACCAGTGAGTCCTCCCAAAGGCCTGGGCCTGGATGCCATTACCTGTTGGACACGTTGATGATGTCACGAGTGCGCAGGTGCTGTTCCTCCACTTTGCCAGCCAAATAAAGGGAAGACATGGCGACCAAGTAGGGGTCATAGGCATCCAGGTTGATCTCATAGAAGAACTTATGGTAAATGGTACAAGCTGTGGCAATGGGAATGGACTGCATCCCTAGCTTGACACCTGCCAAGAGAAAGTGGGCAGAAGAGTAGCTCAGTCCAGTGCTCACCCTCTGCTGAAGCGTGGGTGGAGCTGCTGGGTTGGGCCCTAAGAGTATACACCCCTGCTCAGACAAGACCAAGAGCCTGGAGCCTAGCTGGCTGTGGCTGCTGGGTCTTTCACTGGGTCCTCTACCTGAGAGGCTTTGAGCCAGGCTTCTCAGGTTCTATGGGGCTAACAGGCCCCTGGGGGTTGTCACACCCAAGCTACGGATCTGCAGACCCCACCAGGAGAAGCAAGGCTTCAGACTAGTCCTCCGTGAGCACCTGGCATGTCAGCCTCTGCACAACATCCTGGAAAGGACCACACACTGCTGTGTATCTGTTTCGACCTTATAAGCATCTAACTAAAGGTCGCCCCCACCCCCACAGGTCACCTAACAAAAATCCTGCCAAGACGACAGCAGGGGAAAAGGGCCTCTGAGCATCAAAAAGACACCACAGAGTCCCAATGTTACAACTAAAGATTATACTCGGCCCTGGCTTCCTTGTCTGAAGGTTGAAAAAGGCAAGAAAAGCAAGCAGGAAAAAAAAAAAAAGCAACACCTACGGCCACCGACAGGCGCCAGGGAAGAAGACTGACACACGGAAAAGGGAACAAAACTCAAAAAGCAGAGCACGTGGTGGTTTGATTTAGGGCGTAAAGCCCACGCCCCACCCCACCTCTGGACGGCTCCTAAGGAAATCGCTGCATTGGGTAACAGAACCAATATAAATTCACAATGACCAGGGTTAACAAGAGAAGGTTAAATGACATCCAACAGACTGAAAGAAGGTGAGGAACAACCGTCAATCATTAAGATTACATTCAGTATCCTCTCCCTAAGGTGTTCTAGTTCCCTGGGGCTACTGTAAGGAATTACCACAAACTCACTGGCTTCAAACAACACGTACTGTTTCTCTGACAATCCTTATGGTCAGAAGTCCCAGATGAGTCTGAGGGGGCTAAATTCAAGGTGTGGGCAGGGTGGGTTCCTTCTGGAGCCTCCAGGGAAGAATGTTTCCTTGCCCTTTCCAGCTTCTAGAGGTGCCTTCAGGCTTTGGCTCGTGGCCCCTTCCTCCCTCGTCGAAGTCAGGGGAAGCATCTTCTAACTCTGCTCCCCTCGTTCCATGGCCTTCCAGTCTGCCAGTCACTCCTGCCTCTCTCTTTAAGGATGTGATAGGTGTGATTATCCTGGGCCCAGCGAATAATCTAGGGTAGTTCCCCATATCAAGATGCTTGATCCTGGGGCGTCTGGGTGGCTCAGTCATTAAGCGTCTGCCTTTGGCTCAGGTCATGATCCCGGGGTCCTGGGATTGAGCCCCGCATGGGGCTCCCTGCTCAGTGGGGAGCCTGCTTCTCCCTCTCCCTCTCCCTCTCCCACTCCCCCTGCTTGTGTTCCCTCTCTCGCTGTGTCTCTCTCTGTCAAATAAATAAATAAAATCTTTAAAAAAAAAAAAAAAAGATGCTTAATCCCATCTGCAAAACCTTTGCTGCATGAGGTAACAGTCACAGGGTCGCAGGTTCAGGGGATTAGGATGGGGACATCTTTGGAGGACCAGTGTTTAGCCTCACAGCGGGGAGCAAGGGCATATGCAATACATTTTATAAAGAAGTCCTCCGGAGAGTGGTACCTGGAAGAGCTTTTAGCATTTCAAGGTCTAAACTTCAGTTACATAGGCAGCTCCCACATGGGACTCCTCGTTCCCAGAGATGTCAAATACGGTGGTATAGCTGCACATGACCCTCCAAGCCCTGTTTTATGCAGCAAATCCTCAAAGGGCAGCACGCTGCCCCGGTTTACATGGACCCTCCAAGCGGATGCATGGCAGCATATGGGAGGCCACTGCCATCCTTCTTCATACCTTGTGCAACTCTTCCTGGAAATTAAATGTACAAATCACTGGGCTTAATGGTCCTGCATCATTTCCCCAGACCGCTGACTCTGACTTGAAAGCGGACTCACCCAGACCCGGCTCCCACCAAGTGCGTACAAAGTAACAAAGATCGAAAGTACCCGTCTGCCCGAGTGAGGTACTATTGCCAAGAGAGAGAAACAATGTTTCTACAGGAATCCGATTCGCTTCATTGTCTCGCCTTGGGAGCAGGGGCACCCAGCACCTCTGTGGACACCGTGGCAGGGTTTTCAAAACGCGAGCTGCACCCTGCCTGGGTCCTCGGTGTGACGGGACCTCGCCAACAGGGCTCGTCACGAGCCTCACCACCGGCGGGCTCCGAAAAAGCCTCCGCGAGACCAAGTGCGCTGGGAGACAGGGATGCGTGAAGGCGCGGGGCGCCACCGAGCCGCGCGCGCTCGGATTCCACCGCCTTCTCGCTCGGGCCCGTCCCTTTCCACGTCCTCTCTTTGGGCCTGCGCGCCCGTCCGCGAGGTGGCCGTGACCGTGTCCTCCTCGCAGCTCAAAGCCTAGCACACAGGGCTCGGCGGAAAGCAGAGGCCTGTACCCCTGAGCCGGGCCTCTTCCCCCTGGCCAGCCGCGCCAGCTCCCCGTCCTGCACGTCCCCTACTCCGGGAAGTGGGTTCCCGTAAGGCCGGCCCTCTTCCCCAGCCGCGGTTACCTGCCTCCATGATGAACCTCGTCACTCGGAAGTGCACCCTCGCCTCGGGGGCTGGCCGCCCCTCGGCACCCCGCGCCGCGTCCCCTCCTCCACAAATGTCGGGGCCAGCAGCCTCCATGAGGCCCCGCCCCGCGGCCCCAGACCCCCCGCCAGAAGGAGAAGGGGCCCCAGCGCGCGGCGAGCGGCTCCGGGGGTCCTCGCGGCGGGCGCGGCCCCCGCCCCGCCCCGCCCCGCCCCGCCGGCCCCCCGCCCCGCCCCTGTCCGCGCCGCCCCGCCTCCCAGCTCCCCGCCCCGGGACAGGGGGGGAAGAAGGGGGGAAGAAGAGAGGATGACCGCGCGGCTGCGCGCAGGCGCCGGCGCAGGCGCAGAGGCCGACTCGGCCGGGCGGTGGCTGGCCCGCACCCGCCCTGCCCCTGGACGCTGTTTGCCCCGCCCTTGAGAACTGACGCCGGGTCCCTGGGAGGCTTATGCCCCGCCCCCGAGAGCCGCCAGCCCAGTACCCCGTGGCTGGAACTAGCTGGGCGACTTCGCGAGGGCGCCGCGAGGTCACGGGCACCCCCAGGCATCTTAGCTGCAAGTCCCTGCGGTCCACCAAGGTGTTGCTCCAGGCTGGTGGCCCGGCGTGGTTTAGGGCTGGGAGAGCTGGTGGTGACTGCCAACCCCCGGGCGAGGGGCGCTCACCTGTGCTCTCGCTGGGACGTTGGCGACTCCCACCAAGAGAAATCATGTGACTCAGTGTCCGTGTTCGTAAAAGCTGAATCCAGCTTTGCCAAAGTCTCCAGACAGGTAGATGAGCCCCGAAGGAAATGTGCGAAGAATGAGTGCATTACGGGGTTTGGGCTCTGGGATTTTCCTCTGCATCCCTTGGTGATCTGGCTTCTGCTCACCTTCCCAGGCTGACACACATTAGGAGCTTAACGAATGAATGTTGTTGAATATCCAGCTCACAATGCCAATTCACGCTTTGTGCCTGTGCCTTCCATAAGCAGGATATCGTGTGTCAGGCATTAGGGATATAGAGCACCAGAGGGACTCCCAAACTAACCACCCTGTCATCTGGGTCACTCTGGTATCATCGGATAGTTGCTATGATTTGAGAGACTTGGGAACTTTGAGAGGAAAAGGCCACTGCTCCCAAGCTCTTCCTCCAGGGTGTCTGGACCCCGGTGATGATCCTGATGGCTCCACCTCCTGACCCACCCGGGACAGCCTTGTCTCCTTCCTCAGCTCCCCCATCCCTCTCCCAGCCCAGGTCCCCCCAAGTCTTTTCTCCACACCAGCCGTGGTCGTTTCCTGTGCCTGCTGTAACAAATGGCCACAAAGTGAGGGACTTGAAACAACAGGAACTCATCCTCCCACAGCTCTGGAGACCAAAAGTGTGAGATCAAGGTGTCAACAGGGCCATTATCCCCCCTGCAGGCTCTAGGATACAATCCTTCTTTGCCCCTTCCCGCTGCTGGTGGCCCCAGGTGTTCCTCGGCTCATGGCCATGTCACTGCAGTCTCTGCCTCCGTTGTCACGTGGCCTTCTCCTCTGTGTGTCTCTGTGTCTCTCCTGTTACTTGTCTCTGCATTTAGGGCCCACTGAGGAAATCCAGGATGATCTCAACTTGAGATCCTTCACTTCATCACATCTGCAAAGACCCTTTTGCCAATCCCAGCTTCCAGGGATTACGACATAGGGGCCTACCATCTGGCCCACAACACCAGCCACCAGCCAGAGTGAGCTTCCTAAAATATAAGCCTGAACGGGCTCTGCCCTGCCTACCATCTTCCAGGACCCCTTCAACTCAGGAGAAAGCTGAGGCCTTAGCCTGACATGCCAGTTCTCATGGAGTCACGCTGTCAACTGACCAGCCTCGGGTCTCACCACTTGGCCACTCATAGCAACACCCTTGAGCAACTCCCTGGAAGTTACAGTCTCCCAACTAAGGGTCTTCATACAAGCTCCGCCCAGTGAAGGGATTCCTGCCACATACCCCTCTCCCCAGCTCTCTGGGCTGAGTACCTGTGCGTGTGTGCGTGTGTCCGCACGCACGTGTGTGCTTGTGCACGTGTGCCCATGTGCGTGTGGAGGGACTCAGGGCCCCAAGACCCCTGTGCTGCTAACACCTGTCATGCCTTGAGCACTCTGTCACTGCTGTCTGTCCCCCACCCGAAGCTGAAAGCCAGATCACCCAGAGCACCAGCCTAAAGGGGCACACCACACACAGCCCCCTCTCCACACTCACATGCAAATGTACACATACATCAGGCGTTTCCCCACACACACACACACATGCACACACCCAGATCGTATCACTTTTCCGTCTGGCCCCTGGCCCAGTGGCCTGCCTGACGCCTCCCCATCCATGTTTGCCGGTTAAACAGCATGGCTTGAATTCCTCCTTCCCCCCTGGGCCTTTTGTGGCGTGAAGAGTCTGGGCTCAGCAAGTAATAGGTGCCCGTGAATGTGAGTCAAGGGAATGACTCAATGAACACATTAATTTTTAAGACCCTGGGTCACAGGGCACCCTCCTGGCAAGCAGCCTGGACACTGTGGTTGACAAATGAATAATTCACTAGCCACCGGTTGGAACCAGCAAACCTCGAGGCAGGGCTTCCTCTCCCACCATCAAGCCACACCCACTGCAGAGCCCTCCCTTCCCAGTCATCTGTCACCCCTCCCAAAGGTGGCGTCCCCCCTCTCACCACTCCCACCATCCCCTGACCTTGCCCGGGGATTATCTTCAGACCCTGTACAGAGAAGATGGTCAACAAAGGAGGGGCGGACAATCGTATCAGAAGAAGATTCTATGATATTTGCCAACACTTCCTTATCTAACCTTTACTGTGCGCCTCTACCCTGAGTAAACCACAGCCTCCTCCTCACAATGGCGCTATCACCTAATGAGTGAGTGAGTGAGTGAGTGAGTGAGTGAGCCAGGGCTCAGGCTGAAGCTCAAAGGATGAGGCAGAGAAGGGGGAGGGGCATTCGGGGTACAGAGGGAAGGCTGTGCCCAGGCAGGGCCACTGGAAAGCCTGGCTGGTCTTCAAAGACAGGGGATGATTTCCAAAGTGCTCAGCCTGCCCACCTCCTCCCCAGTGGCCTTGGCCCTAGGGGTCGTCAGTTGAAGAGCAGCCTCATCCAAGTCCAGTCCTGTCACTTGTCCTTGGAATCTTCTTGCAACCTGAGAACCTCACTCCACTGTCACCCCCTCTTCCCCACATATCCCCCTCTCCACAAACACCTTCTGGACTTCCAATCTCTTACCATCAGCAAATCCAACCGCCTTCCTCCGGGTCCACCTCCCCGTCTCCACTGCCCTCTACTCTCCCACCCTTCTCAACTACGCAACTCGGAAGCCATGTGTGTCCCTGGACTCCACAGCCTCCTGCCTGCTCTGCCCTTGGCCCACCCCCCGCATCCAGCCCCTGCTGGGTGAGACAGTCCCCCTCCCACACCATCCTCATCTCAGTCCACTCAGGCTACTAGAGCAAAATACCAGAGACTAGGTGGCTGATAAACAACAGACATCTCTTTCTCAAATTTCAGGAGGCTGGAAATCCAAGATCAGGGTGCCAGCATGGCTGGGCTCTGGCAAGAGCCCTCTTCTGGTTTGCTCGGTCAAAGCCAAGTTCTCACTGTGCCCTCACGGTGGAAGCGGCACACTAGCTCTCTGGGGTCTCTTTTATAAGGGCACTGATTCCACTCCTGAGGCTCTGCCCTCAAGACCTAATCAGGTGGCCCCACCCCCTAATACTATCACCTTGGGCATTCGGATTTCACCATGTGAG